AAACGATACTCCTTATCTTGTGGGAAAAAAAATGGGTAAATGTAGCTGATCCAGTCATAAGGGGTTTTTTCTGTTCTTTTCAAGTTATTGGTTTATTTATTCAAACATTTCCGTCTTCACCTAGTTAATTATTAATTAAGCAACAACTTTCAATGTCAGCGTGAGCTGCTACTACTATTAGAATTATTTGTTTCGCTATAATTTTACTGACAGAAAGAACACTATTTTCAAGCTAACCTAACTACTTTATTAAACAACTTGTGATATTCTTAATGAGGAGCGGTTCTTAATAAACTTATTAAAGCCCACTAAAAACTATGTCTTAGCTCACCACTGACACAATCTCACAGTTGTCTCCAATGTTCCTCTAAATTAACAATCTTCCATAGTAGCTCTCTTTCGGTATAGCTTTCCGAAAAGTCAATCACTCCCGACAACAACAAGTACTGCTGCTGCATGACTGTGTCCTTATGTACAAAGTATTCCAGAAAATCCCGGAAGCTTACAACACAACTATAATGGTAGTGTTACATCATAACTACGTAACCTAGTAAAATGCTCCAGAAAGTTCCTTGGTATGAACATCAGCGTGACAAGGCATTCTAGAATTTTTAGGAACTTATAGTTTCAGTTATTATCCAAAGCTAATTTTTAAGTAACGACAGTGTTTGAAGAGAGGTTTGTAAACTCAGTAAGTGAAACGAACACTATGAAACAATCATGCAGTAAGCGCAGAAAGTTAGCACGCAAGAATCAAAAGTTGAATACATTAAGTTAAAGTTGCGTACTAGAGTGCTTTTTAAAGAGAGAAGAGTCGTGATTTCCTGGTATAAATTCCCGCCTCGTCTGTAGCAGACTGTGGTCTTATTCGCAGGGCAATCATCAACATACTGAACCATTAGAAATTTAGATTTATAGATTGGTTTATTTCGATTAATCTTGCCTACAACTATGCGATCTTCTAGAAAATAAACTTATAATCATAAAGAAGATAGGTTACAATTACAGCTAGTTGAATGCTTAAACAATAATGAGAAGAGAGACCTCTTTTTGCCCTCTGATCGAAAGTCAGATCGATCGTGACCGACTTACTGCTGTTCACTATATTAACTAATTGACTGTCATTCCCTGTTGGCTGGATCTAGTTATTTAAGTTAAATGCGAATTCGATTGAAACTCAGTACAGGATTGCAGTTCAACTGCCCATACATCCCCAACCTCACTTGGATTGACCTGTGAGCTCTTCCTTGTGGATTTTTTCTCTATAGAAGATGGAAAAACGATATTCTTCTTTCTTTTGAGACGCTCTCTGATCTGCAGATAGACGAACAACACGAAATACGGTTCTTAGCACAAGTACTCGGATATCCATCGAAACACTAAAACTTGATGATATGCAGTTAATAATCAGTTTGATGTTTTATCTTACCTGGGTGTTTCGCATGCAGTGAAGAACGAAAATCAGGAAACCCTGCAGCATAAAAATGATTTCAAGATCATTAATCTTTACAGTATACAAACAAATTAGTCAAATATCTACTAAGATTTCCAAGAACGAGAGAAAATTGCATATCTTATAATTTAAAAAAGAAGTTTTTCTTCTCTTGCATAGTTAGCGGCATTTTTGGTTTCAAAATTCCAATAAATATGATGTGACCATTGTAACGGTGTCTCCCTTGGTTGTAAAGTAAAATAAGGATAGATATTGAATGATTTTTGACAATTACCATCGAACACTGACCTGAGCAGAGCTAAGTATGGTGAAGATGTAAACGAAAGCTTTATGTACAGGCGAGAGGAGACCGAATATCCACGTGATACCCAGCAGGGGAATCATCACCACGCATGATTTGATGCCAATTCTAAGAGTTAAAAAGAAAACTTTCCTTTATTTTCCTTTGACGATGAATTTTCATTTTTAGATATCGTAAGGCCTTACTGATTAAACAATGAGGACGTTAGGCAAATAGAGCCTCACGGGAGGACAAGGCAACCTCTTCCACTATATTGTTTTAGTTTTATGTTGTGAATGTTACCGTATTTGCTGAGAATGGTCGTCTTCCCCTATTGGCTGCAACAAATTGGTCATCTCCTTTATGACTCGTGCGAGTATCATGATGTTGAGCTGAAGAATACAATAGAAATAAATCGATTATTTAGATATGGTTATCGCATAGCTAAAGTAGGAGAGGATCCTTGCCAAAGACGTTACTAATTTGGTAATAAGCGTGAGATGAAGAGTCATTTACAGGGAATAGAACTTCCAACCGAGGGACCTAGATTATCAGCTTCGATTCTCTGACAATGAGCTAAAGAAATCGCGAACTAAAGTGTCTGAACTGAGTGAAATATGCAAAGTGAA